AATAGTAAAATAAAATCATTTAGAAAACTTTTTAAAAATTTGTAAAATTTTTAAATTTTGCTATTTTTTTTTTTTTTTTTTTTTTTTTTAAGAGAGGTCTTTTCCTCCAGTTCTTTATTATATATAATTATATTATTTACAAATTTTCATAGCAATAATACATTATATTAAGTGAAAGGGAAGATAAAGCTTGGACATCTCTGCCATTTTACTTTAGATCTAAATTTTAGCTAGATAGATCCAAGATCTCTAGACTATGTTATGTATATCGAAGAGAGGAAAATTATAACTGATATGTCTATCTAATCATTTATTGAAGTCATTATATCCTTTTACTTTAATATGGTATATTTCATCTTCTTGTTTCTGGTTTACTTGAGCTACCATATTATTTGTACTATTGTTATTTTGAACTGGTGAACTATATACTGCAACTCTCGATAGTACCCAGATTAGCTCATGTATTAGTTTTGCTATCATGTCGTGTAACTCTATAGCATTAATTATATTTTTGGGTGTTCGTGTATCAGAAGTGATTACTCCTATAGGTGTCTTATTCGTTATGTAAACGTTAGTGTATTTCGCTATAAACCTTTGAATATGTTGGTTCGAGAGTTCATTTGATTTCTGTAGTTTGTTACAAGCTTGCAATATTATTTGGCTTATAGTGGTTGTGTTGGAGTTACATATTAGCCAATGTGTATTGTCTTCAATTTCGAATAGGCATCTTCTACAGGTTGGTAATTCATATTTTTCTGGATGTCTTTTGTTGAGGTTTTCAAAGGTCGGGAGTTCATTTAGTAGCATCTTCATTTTGAATGTCTTAAGCTTCGACTTTTTTGGTTTAGTTCCTCTGAAAAGAGGCTTGTCTTTGAAGTTTATATATTTATAGGTTAATCGCCATTCTATTTCTGGTTGGAGCCAGTTCCTTATCCTTTTTTGTTGTAGCTAGTTATTCATCCTCGCTGTCCTTATTAGTGATTTTATAGTGTTATTTAAGGTCAGTGGTAAGGTTTGAGTGTTCAGTGATGCTGAGAAGTTTTTTACTAGGGCTTTTGATGGGATGAATTCTGTTAAAACCAGGTCAGGATTGTGTTCAGTAGTTGGCGTAATTGAATTTAGAACTACATTAAAGAACTTTATATTTATTAATGTATTGATGCCTATCTCGTAGTCTGCATAGTCTTGTCTTTTAACTTGTTGTAGCCAAAGAGGTTCACTACAGTGGTCAAATCTAATATCACAGACAAATGTTGAATTTGTACTAAGTACTATTTTAGATTCAGAGGGTGCTAGTGTTAAGAGAATCAATAGGGCTGTTAGCCCAACCTTTTGGGGTGTTGACCAGGTCTTGTTTTGAATAGCAATTATAGGCTTATTATCCATATGTATAGTTGCTGTTAGTATTACTCTTTTGTTATTACGCTGAATTTTTACCAGAATTTTGGATGTATTGGTATTGCTAGTTAGGTCTACTGATTAGTGGTGGTTTCGTTTCAAGTAATGATCTGTTTACATGCCACTTTCTTGATTTTGCTACCTGTATACTATAAATCTGGCAAGGCTGTCTCTCAATTATACAGGTTGCTAGTCTCTTGTTAGCTATTTTGTATTCACAGTTTGGGCATGGTTGCACTTGTCTCGTTTGATCAAGTACCCAGTGTCTTATGCGAATAGTTCCTTGAGTATAGGATGTGATTTTCCCAATTAGTTTATTAGCTGTGATGATCCACTTATTTTTCTTTGGTGTGGCCTTTTGCCAGAAGTATGGGTTTGGTGTTTTTAAAGATAGTGTTGGTGATTCTATATCTCGGATAGTATCTTTTACCTGCGTGAACCATCATGGTATTCTCCCTGGTGGGATTTTGTTTATGTTGTGGTGAAATTCAATCCACTCTAATGTCTTATCAGTATTAAAGTTGAGAAATTGCTCAATTGCCTCAATATTGTGTTTGTTCAAGAAAGACTTAATATAAGATAGTCTTGGTATTGTCTTTAACAGTTCATTGATAGGTGTGCCCCAAATAGTTCTTGGAACAGGCCACTGGGAGTAGTGTTCATAATTAAGCTTCTCAGTATGTATCGACTTTATTATCTGTACCGTAAAGAAGTTTGCAACCTCCATTGGGAAGGTGAGTTCATCTATTAGAATCAAAGTATTCGTTAATGCCTTATTTTGAAGATTTTGTAGGTGAACTTTCGTGCTAGATGAGTCAAAGTTGTGATTATTCAACAGTGTGGTCATAATTTGGATGTGTTGTTGTTTCTGAAGATCTGAGATATTCTGAAGTTCATATATCAGTGGGTGAAAGAGCGTTGAGTCTGGTATAGAGCATGCTAGGTTCGCTTTTTGTTTTACTATGTTTATATAACTGTGTAGAATTTTTTTATACAAAGAGCAAAGAAGGAAGGTGTTTTGCAGTTTGTATCTCATTCTGGCCAGTATAACTGTATTTATTATATATATCACTTGTTTGTCTGTAATTATGGAGAATTTCAGTTTCTTCAATTCTAGATTTGCTTCTCTAGTGATCGCCTTATATACAGTACGTTTTCGTTTGAACCAATTCAAATAAGTTTCAAGAAACTTCAGCGTTTGATCTGGTTTTATTTTATTGATGTCAATATCTTGGAACTTAATTGGATTTAAATCTTTGTTACTGTTATGTGTTAACATAGATTTAAGTAGATTTACAGTGATGCTGGTGAGTTTATAAAAGGATGCTGCCACTTTTAGAATTTCCTCGAGTTGTGATCTGCTCTGTGCAATCCAGGTAGTATCATCTATATAAGCTATTACAGAAGTATTTAGACCTTCTTGACTCTGTTTTTCTAGAATGTTAGTGGACATCTGATAACCTGTAAGCTCCTTATTAATGTGGCTTATTAGGGGGTTGTAGTAGATATGCCAGAGTAGTGGTGACAAGATCTCACCCTGATCTATTCCGTCTTCGACCTGATATAGACCAGTTCTACTAATAGTTGTTAATACCTGGTTTTGACAGTTGGAGAAGCAGTTAATTATTGTGTTGATAATTTTGGTTGGCAAATTTATTCTTTCTAGCACGCATCATAGTAGTGGCAAGTGTACTGTATCGTATGCCTTCGACATATTCTGTGATAGAATCCATAGTTCTTTCTTATTTATTTCTGCATCTTCTCTCAACTGAGCTAAATGCTGAATTGGTTCTAGGGTTGACATATAAGACAGTGCTACATTATTTGATGGATCTAGTATTTGATGGCTAGTAAAGATTTTATTTATATGTTTTGTTAGTATTTTAGTGAACACTTTACAAGGATGTTCAATTAAGGTTATGGGCAGGTCCGTCCCATATCCCCTTCCATGTATGATGTTTTTGCGATTAGTCAGACCAGACTATATTTCCATGCCTTTGGAGTATCTTCTAGTAACAGACATTGATTTAAAATGTACAGCAATGCTTCAAGGGCTGCCATTGGTAGTTTACGTAGCATTTCGTTGGAGATCATTGAGGGTCCTGTTGCTTTACCTAGTGGTGTATTACTTATTACTTGCTACATTTCAGATATAGTTATAGGCTCGAGCAATTCCTTAAAGATTCCAGGTGTTATACATGTTTTCGGTTTGTAGTAGTTCTCTCAACTAGGCCATTCCTGTAGATCGCTTCTATTTAATTTGGTCCATTTCATAAAGTGTGCTTTGACTGCTTCTTTGATGCTATTTGGTTCTATAATAATCTGTGATAGAGTTATGATATTATGGTATGTTACTTGTTCCTTGCTCTTTCGCAGGATGCTATTTATCATCACAGAGGTGTTAGATGCAAACTTCTTATATCTTTGCTCTACAAAGGAGTTTATTCTTTTTTTCTTTTCTGTATTGTTCTTCACTGTTCATGCAGTAAAGGCTGTGTTCCGAATTTGTTTTAAGGACTGCAGTGTATTGGCATATTGGAACCAATAAAGTGTGTACTTATAACCGGTGATGTAGGAATTCCTGTCAGGTCACTCAGGGTTTTCAATTTCTTATTTATCTGTGATATTATATAATCAGGCGTAAGTGGTGGGTGAATTGACTTGAATAATGCTAGAGTTTTATTTGCAACTTTTAGTCCTCTATACAATTGAGTTGTCTTAAAGGAGTGTGCATGAAACACTTTCAGTGCAGTAATGGCAGATAGTATATTATCTTTAGCTGCTTGCTTCACTATACTATACCAGATGTTTGTATAGCGGTTTAGAGATTTTTAATCGTTGATGCTGAGACTAGGAATTGGGGAGCTTTTCAAATTTTCCCTGATCTGTTTAGCGAATTGTGTCTAGTCATCTTTTGTTGTTTTGTCACATAGATAAACTTTGTGCTTTTGTTTTTTTGTTTTTTGCTTACTCAGCGTTGATAACATATACCATTCAGTTAGAAGAATTTTATGATCACTCCTGGTTGTATAGTCTGCATCTATTATTGCCAAAGGTTCAAAAGCTAGTGCAATTTCTGGGTTCATCCAAATATCATCAATTTGACTTTTCATCTCATTTCTTTCACATGTTAGTTTAGTGATATCATATAACTCCAAGAGGCTTATTACCAGATTGGTGAAGATGAGTAAGAATAGGTTGGTTTGGTCAGTTCATATTGCTATTGAATCTCTAGCTACTATCAGGTCTAGGTGTGCTGCTCTAGCCTATTGAATATATTGTGCTGCTTCTGCCTGGGCTTTATTGGATGTGTTTGTTGGGGCCAATAGAATGTATATTGCGATTAAAGTAGTTGTTGTTTGTGAGGGAATTGGAAGTCGATCATTAATAGCAAGCCTGGGGTTGTTTAATATGGTCTAAGGGAGAGTGTAATGCCAATAGAAACACCAAGGCTTGCCTCTCTATTTACTGCATGGTTAACATCATTATTAGCTGTATAGATTTTATACAATGGGTTGGAAAGGGTCTTTCTAGATGCCGTGGATTGTGGTAGTTTAGTTTCAGTCATAACAATGATTTGGATCTCTTTTTCATAACAATATTCGAGCTATTTTTGTAGTTTTATATCATTGTTAAGACCTTGAACGTTGTGGTTAATTATTTTAATTTTGTCGATTGTATTTTTAGATTGGTTGTTTTGTGTGGATTTTGAGTTGGACTGTGAGTCCGGTGAGTTGTTGTTTGTATTTATACAGGGGGGAGTAGTTATTGAAAATGTCCCATTAGGGTTTGGGCAGATCTGGAATATTAATAATGTGATTAAGTATGCCTGCAAAGTTAAAGTGTTTCTTTAGAAAATTGACTGTGTGTTCAACTTCTTCTTGCTTAGTTATTGGTAAGATAAAGAATGGTGGCTTTTCTACTGACTCTAGATTTTCCAAAATTTTCTCTACTGTTGTTGGTAAAAGAGGTGTCCCTGGCAAAGCACCTGCCCCAGGTATTATTTGTATCCATTCAACGGGGATTTCACAGAAAAAGTAGTGTTCTTATAGCCTCTAAAGTTGTTATATATCTTTATAATAAATTATCGCATTGTTTTATATTTTTACCAATCATTTTTTCATGTAAAAAATAAGATACAGTTTACATTCTTAATTTATTTCGAATTACTAATTTATTTTAATATCAAAAATATGTGTTTTATGGATATGGGAGCGAATTCAAAGCATAATATCTGATACCTGATAGTTAACATTTGTGCCAAAAAAAAAACTCTTTCCCGTAGATCCCAAAACACTAAGTAAACAAATAAATTGCAAAAAAATAATTCAAAAAACCATCAGTTAGAAGGGAAAGACTTATAATAAAACTAATCTCTTAGGGGATACTGCACTTTTAGGTGTAAGAAACATCAACCAAGGGCCAGATACAAGTTGAGTAGCAAGAAAAGAGACAGAAGCTTGATAGCAGCAGATAACACACAAGCAACCTTGTCGCCAACTTTGTCGGTGACAAATACAGAAGGCAGTAATATAACAACAACTACAAATAGTATTGTCCTTGTGAGACACAATATTATGAAAGAAATTCCAACAAAAAAGAAACTAAAGCAAAGACATAACCCTATGAGTATGCAAGATGACAACCCGTTCGAGGAAAAAAAATAGAAAAAAAAGTGGGGGAAACCACTTCCACAATTGTTTGCCAAGAAATGATGTTATACCAAACACAAATGGCCATTGATACAGATTTGGTGAAAATTCTCACGCCATGCAGAACATGGATTGCGATGATCAAAGCACGTGAAAAATAGATCTACAAACCGTACAAATTAAGAAGGACCTAGCTAAGGACCCAGAAAATCAAGAGCCCAGCCCACAATCACAAACTGAGCCACCTGCAACAAACACACAAAGGCTGATAAATGTAGTATCAATGTCAGATGAACAACACATGCAACTATTATTACAATCTAGTGCAATGACTACGATTAATACTAATCCGTATATAACAACAGAGGAACAACCTGAGGATCAAAAATCTATAAACACAATATCATCACGAGCCACCACACCTATTCCATCATATCATAACAAACTAGTTGGAAAAAAGGCAATCAGACCATTGGATGACCGTACTACTGACTGGGTGCAACACATTAGAAGATTTAAAGCTGATCTCGTAGAAAATGAATTCGACATAGCAGAATGGCATAATGACAAAATAATCCAAGCACTGGAATCTCAGGATATGTATAAAAAATTTATAAGTCACAAATTCCTAACCAGACTAGCAAATATTCCTATGCCAGAAGCAATAAAGCTTAAATTTCAGTTCATGGACACTGCATTTTTCTGCTTCTTTACAAGAAATAAGCAAACCATACCCCTCACCAAGACAAATTCAACAAGCTTCTGTATAGTGCTATTGACAAGTATAAGCAAATATATAGCGTGACAATTACTAACAAAAAGAACAAAGATCAGATATTTGCAATGTTAAAATCGAGCTTGGCACTTGATACAATAAAGAATTTAAATTTTCATTTGCTCGATGATTTAGAAATTACTAAGCGTATATTCTACTGTATCTGATTCGCCCAACTGAAAACAACAATAACGTTTGACGATATGCAAAAGATGATATCAGAACAGCACAGTGCAACATTAATTGAGTTACCAGACTCCCCAGATGGACTTGATCCAGAAATCAATAAAAGGTTACCGTTTAACCTACCCACAGATGATAGAAGGAATACTAGAGCAATTGCAATTGCTATGCAACAAATATATAAGTTCAAGTTACTGCCTGAGGCATACTTTGTAAATCCAAGAGAACCACTGCCAGAGAGGCCTAGTCAACTTAACTAGGAAATTAGGAATTTTTTTCTAATAACTAGTTACTTGTCATTAAAGAATTTGAAAGAGCTCCGTGCGAAGCTAAATAAATATTATTACTTCAGTGGTCCAATCCCAGATAACTACTTTGAATTACTAGAACCTTTGCCTGCCCTGCCATTAGTACCTCAGCTAGTTGAATCTAGGATCAGACACCTATATCCTTTTACACCAAAGAATGCTGTAGACTTCAAGAGACATATAAAGATTCTGAGAGAATACTACACCTTCGAATGGCTCCCTAATGACTATATACTAAACAAAAGAAAGCTGCCTAAGGAACCAACAGACGTTAAAACAGAAGCAAACTATTCATTTCTGATAACAAACCGAGCGGTCGCAAAGACTTTCTTGGCAGAAATAAATGACCAATACAGTATACCTAACCCTATACTTAAAAAATATATAACAGTTAACCCAACTGATCTACCAGACCTACCTTGAAACCATCATGATATAAAAGAAATAGAGCTATCACTCCCTATAAAGAACAGCAAAGATTTGGTTAGTATAGCTAGAAGACTCAGAAAATTCT